TTAAAAAAAAAAAAAAAGGAAATTTATCAACAAGATTTATTTATGCGAGTTATGCGAGTACTATTTATTTTATTGGCAAGAAAAATTTTGGTGGCTCTTTAAATTTTTAAAATTTTCTAAATTGTAATTTTTGACTCTTCCGATTCAAAAGGTTGCCGATCACTTGATCTAGAAGAACGAAGAATAAATTCAACGAACCGTCTATATTGAAATCCAAAAGTAAACTAATTTATTTTATTTTATTTATCTATATGATTTTCCAAAGAAAAAAATTCTATTTATTATAAATATTATTATTAATATTATTATTATTATAACTCTTTGGAAAGTCATATATAAATAAGAATCAATAAGATAATTTCAATGAATAATTTAATAATTTTTTTTCAACAAACATTTGTTTTGAGAAAATTAACTGTAGACTAAATTGACTAATTTTCTCGTAATATTTTTGATTCTTAAAAAAGAGGTAAAAGTATAACGAATGAAAGATTGTAGAGGAAAAAAATATAAAATTGGACGCGATTTGTACAAAATGAAATTGAATCCTGAAATGTTGCTGGAGTCAGAAGTACGCCATCAACTTTTAACGTTAAGGTTCGTGTAGTCGTTCTTAAGTATGGGATAAATCAGTGTGTAGTGGCGTATATTTTGAAGTGTACTCCAAGAGGGGCGAGGAGGAGGAGGAGGAGGAGGAGGAGGGAGTTGGGGGATGACAAAACTTATTTCTATGGAATAAAAGATTTAGCTCGTTCGATTCTCGACGTAAGAAACTTTCAAATTGGTTTATTCGTCGTAACGTTTGCTACGATTTGTCGCATTTTCGACGTAGATAGATAGATAGATAGATATCTACGTATGTATGTATCTACGATTTTTCGATTGGACATGATGAAATTTTCGAAAAATAAACAAGAATGACGTCTCATTGGTACCTATGAATAAAAGATAAATAAATATCGATGAACAATCGATGTGAAATGTAAATGTGATTTTGAAAGAAATGAAAGGTAAAACCTTTCTAATTTTTTCATTCTTTCTTTTTCTTTCCTTTATTACACAAGTGGCTCAACTTCGTACCTTCTTACGGTTGGTAGATAGTTAAAAAAGTATATATATATATGTGCATGATATAATACATATATACTTTGGGCAGGAAAATGGTAAATCGTTTTAACGGTACGAGAAAAAGCGTTGAGAGAAAAGTAGATAGTATTTTATATCGTTTTAAAGGATAAAAAAATTGTTCTCCCTTGAAATTTAACGGAATATGTAGAAATAGTTATATGTACCATACGTACCAAGACCAACGAACCATCTAGTCTGTTCGAACGCTATGATGTAGGGTATCACATAATCCGTGATACCTCTTGCAGATTTGAGCTGTTTCGAAAGTTCTGTGCTGCTCGTTTCCATGATCCTTGTCTTTTGGAAAATCCTGGCACGTGCTACGTTTATCTCTCGACGAATTTCTACGAAAAAACAACAACAAAATATTTTAATTAGCTAATTTTCTCTCTCTCTTTCTCTCTCACTATATATAGGTAATATATGCTCATAGTTATGAAAGTGGTCTAAGGTAAGTCAAAATAGAAAAAATACAACCATGAGTTTATCAATTATTTCACAGCCCATTATTTTCAACTAAATTATGTAATTTAATGTAATTTTCACGATATTGTTAATACATATTAACAGCCCGTACAGTAGAACCGCGGAAAATACGCTAGTAGCGAAAGGGTGTTAAACCTTTTCTTTTTAATATCATTTCATACAATTTTTTCTTATAGAGTCGCTTAAGAAGATACACTTGAAAAGAAAAAAGACAAAAAATTAGGATTCAGGTAATCGAAAGTTAACGCAAGATGCCATTGTGTTAAAGTAAGAAGAGCAATGAAAATAACGTGACTGGTCATGGCGATCTTTTTACTTCAACCGTATTTCACAGTCTCAATAAGGAAGAAGCGGGCCGTTAGTCGGTAAATTTTCTTGGAAGCATCGTAGATTTATTAAGACGATCAAGCACAGAAGGTGAATAATAAACGACGAATTACGCCATTCCACGGGTGTCATTGTTCTCTTTAGGCAAAGCTCAGCAATGGGTATCCTCGAGATTCTTGATCTACTCACTTCCTAGACCGAGAATATAATGGGGACGGTTGACCTCAAATATCTTCCAAGGTTTTTTTTTTTTTTTTCTTCTCTTCTGCTTCTTCTGTTCTTTTATTTTCTCTTTTGTTGATTTTTTTTACCCATCATTTTTATCTTTAGGGGGGGGGGTTAATAAAACACGATATGGATTTCGCATTAGATGCTGAGGGGTGTCCACCGTCGCACCATCCATATTGTCCTCGATTTAACCACAAGGGAAAGAATAATATATATATAAAGAAAGAAAGAAAGAGAAAGAAGGTAGAAAGCAAAGGTCGTTTAATCGAGATTGGACGATAGGATAGAAAGTGAAATGAAAGAAGAAGAAGAAGAAGAAAAGTCAGTCAATGTACAGGTTCGAGACACGACGGTGAGACACGAGCAATCGTCAACATTGTCCACCCATGGCATCAATCACCGATTCCCCCTCATTGGCCCAAAGTTTGAACGGATGCCACCATTGGGGTTTGACCGTATACGATCTTCGCGAGAAACTAGACGCTGTTTGCTCCGAGCATTTACCACGTTTCGTTCGTCTATCAGGGGTTTTCTTTTCTATCTCTGTCTCTGTCTTTCTTTCTGTTTCTCTCTCTCTCTCTCTCTCTTTATGTCTTTTTTTATCTTTCCCTTTTCGCTACGTTTTCTTCTTCTTCTTCTTCTTTTTATGGGTTTTATTTCCATTATTGTACAGAAAAGAAACGCCGACGTTCGCTTACTTGAAAACGAAATAATGATTGCTGCCTTAGAAAGGGGTGTTTTATGATCAAATTTACCATAGTTTAAAAAAAAAGAAAAACGTTCTTTTTCTCTTTTTTTTTCAGTAGGAAGATCCATTGTTAATCCTTATTTATTTCTACTTCCCAATACCCACATAACATGATAAGTTTTGAAATCTTTCAACGAAACTCATGCAATAAATTTGACATGGAGACGTTCGTCTCACATGTATTTAACTATTTGAAATGATTGACCTGTATAAAATGATATTTCGATTAGGTGTGTATAACTAGGGTAGTTTCATTCATTCGTTTGATCTTTTTCCAAATATTCCACATTGTATTGTGCATTGGTTATCGGTATGGAAAGGAAAGTCAAGGAGTATTGTACTGTAAACTTTGATAGACCTCTTCAGTCACGTTGAATTCTTGTCAATCGAATGGTTTTATCATATTCTACCTACGATTTCTCGCATCCAAAGTATTTCTGGCGATGTAATGAGGCACGTAAAGGTATTCTCCTCGTGCTTGACGTCCAACATCGGTTAAATTCTCTTTGCTGTTGCTACGTAAACGCATAATACGATCGTCCCTTAAAAGCTGTAAAATTCACAAGAAAATATTTTTCAATTACAGATATAGATAGTTAAAGAAAAACAAAATTAATATGAGGTTTAATATGTTATATATATATATGGGGAATTTTACGTCAAATCGATACGTAAATTTTGATTTACAATATTTAAATAAAAGTGCAAGGAAATTTGTATGTGTGTGTGTTTTTTTTTTTTATAAAAAATAATACACATTATTACTATTTTCTAGTTCATTTTTGTATTACGATTTTAAGATGGTCTAATACATTTAAGGCATTTTCACAAAGACACAATCCTCTTTTCTTTTCTTCTTCCTCGGCTTAAAGAATAAGATTCACTGACCGTCAAAATCCTTTCTTTTTTTTTTTTTTATCCTTTTTTTCCTTTCGGTAAGCTTCTACATTCCATTTGGGGAAATAAAATAGAACGACTTTATACAAGTGCGATGAGGTAATTATTTTTAATAATGAAAAATTGATAGCAGTATCTTACTCGAGTTTTGTCGAAAAGTTACTTTTCTATTATATTAACCCTTAAAGTGCACATGGGGCGTTTGACACCCCAACAAATTTGTGATCTCTTGAAAAAATGGGTGGGTATTTGTCTAGTGTCATCTAGTGTTAATTCAAATAAGTATAAAACTTATTCTATTTTAAAAAAACATGTATCAAATTACTTTTCAACAAATTTCGAGGTTTAAATATTAAATAGCGGCTTCAGTAGACGCGTTCAAAACACATTGAGGGGCTGTCAAACACCCACAGTGGCGCATTTTAAGGGTTTCATATTATTTTTCTTTTTAAATGGAATATTTTTAATTCAATGATTTCTTTACGTGATCGAATAAAATAAAATTAAAAGGGAATGTTTGTGGAATAGAAACAGGAAGAAACGATTAGTGATATAGTCACAAAAACGAGAGATTGTTGATTTTCTTTTTTTTGTTGTTGTTGTTGTTGTTGGAAAATTTTTGAAGTATATTATTCATCAAGAAATGCAGGTAAAGGATTCAAGTTTGTTCAGCTGCTTACTTCGAAAAGTTTTTCTCAGGACTAAATTTTTTTAGTCATGCCTGTCCAACGTAGTTAAGCGTTTATCTTATTGTTTCTTTCTATTTCTTTTACCAACTAGGGATAAAGCCTTTATCCATTTCGAACGTCGCCTATTCAGTCTTCCTGCTTCTCAATTCGATTTTCTCACGAACACACAGCAACTTTGTCTTTTTCTTTGTATTTTTTTTTTCTTTTTTTTTTTTTCATTTCATAGATAAAAATACAGAAAAGAAGAAAAAAAAGAAAAAGATAAGGAAAGAAGATTTTGTAATTGCAACGAATAAAAGATAATCGTCGGATAAGAGAAGTTCATTAAATTCATGAGATAAGATTATTGCTTCTTTTTTTTTTTTTTACTTTTTACTTTTTACTTATCTCTCGTAGAAACACTTTTTCTTCTTTCTCTCTCTCTCTCTCTCTCTCTCTCTCTCTCTCTCTCTTTCTTTTTCTACAAATTAACAGAAGTATCGAAAAGCGAATCTCGTAGCTCATTTTAGTTTTTTTCTTTAATTCGTTTAGAAAAGGTATCGTATAATTTATTAAATTAACAATTCAACTTTATATCAAACCAATTTTTTTTTTTTTTTACAAGACAACGAAATTTAATTTAAATTTAAAGAGAAAGAGAGACAGAGAGAGAGAGAAAGAATTAGTGAGAGAAATAAAATATAATTGAATTACTGGCGGCCTTCAATTCTACGTTAGCGCAATTCGTTATTTCGCGCATTTTTAAATCCACATATCTCAAGTACGTAGAACAATTTGAGAAAAGACACAGCATTTTATAGAAATCTTTATCAAGAAAAGAAAAAAAAATGGATGGTATTCAACTAACTCTTGACAACTTTACAAAGGAAACACCCGAAAGCACCTAACATTCAACATTTTCAACACTTTCAGGAACCAATTATGTGCGAGGGCCCACTGTATTCAATAAACCAGTGGTTCCCAATCCCAAACTTTTTTTCTTCTATCGTCCCCCTTTCCAGAAAATTAATTTTTTATTTGGTTTTCCTTTTTTTTTTTTTAATAACTCAAACAAGAAAATTCATCCCCCTCCGCCAATTCTCCTGTGGCCATCATCGTCCCCCTTGAATCGCTTCATCGCCCACAAAGGGGGCGATATCGCCCATTTTGGGAACAACTGCAATAAACGAACGAACTAATGCACTATGAAATTCTTAACTTACATTTCTTTGAAATATTTTTTAATAAGATTCAAGCTCGAAACACCTATCTGTCGTCGATGGTTTTTTTTTTTTCAATAACAAAACGTACATCGTTTCATTTTTACTTAATCGAGTTTTTAGGAGTGATAAGAATATATGAGAATTAAATGTGTAAGGATAAACAATTTCTATTTGTATGAATGTACATATATTGGAAGAATTGGGTAAAAAAAGGGTGAGTGGATGAGGTCAATGTTATTGAAAAAATGTTATTTACTTGTTCCATATGCAGAGTCAACCGTAAACCAGATGGATCAATGACAGAACACAGTGGACGATCCTGTGCCGAACACGTTCTAATTGCACTCTCTAAATCTCGTTTAATCACATCGGTTTCTTGATTCAATTGTGCACCAAGATCTCGTGCTCTTTCTCCTTCTTTTAATAAAGATTCTGCTCTCTTTGATAGTTCTTGACTTGCTGAAACATCCGGATCCGAATTTTATTAAACGAGCTGTAAAGATCATCGACACGTACATACATTTTATTGTTTTTTTTTTTTTTGAAGTGAAAACTTCTTTAAATAAATCTAAAAATAAACCCTACAATTATCTTACTCCTGATACTCTGCATTCGACTCATTCTCTCAAAGCGAAGGTTTTAAGAAGGTTTCACTTCTAACACGTGTGATCTGCACACATGATATTTTGTGTGTGTGTGTGTGTTGGCAACATATTGGATAGAATGAGAAGGAGAAGTAAGTGAAATTGAATAAAAATCATCGATTTGATGAATAATTGAACGATTCGTATTTTAGCTTATTTTTTTGCTGATAATTTTACTCTTTCACGTTCGAATTTTCGATCATGATATTTTCTGATGAGTTTATTTACTATGTAAACAGATCTAATTAAAATACAGAAAAACATTGTTGCCGTGGTAATTAACAGTCTAGATCGTTCGTTCCATCTATTCAAGGAAATATTTGCAAAATCTACGTTGATATCATTAATGAAAATATCGTTATCATAATTAAAAAGTACATTGCGGTAAGAACGTTGAGAATTTAATTATCTTCTCTTTCCCTTGATCTCGAATTCTCGGGTGAATCTAATTTTCGTGAAAATTACCATTCACGCAAATTGCGCCAGTTATTGTGTGGCTATTTTTTCATGGGTTAAATAAAACTATAAAAAGAACAAGTTAGGATTGAAGAAATATGGACTTTCTACATTTTTAAATATACAGTCGTTACGTATATCTATTACATATATATGTACACATACATATTTAATATTATTCAATAATATTGCTTCAAATATTCTCTCCGATTTCTAATTATATATATATATATATATATATTCAATTTATATTTTTAATATATCATTTTATAACCCTTTCGTAACTAATGACTAATATCCTAATTAACTTACTAAATGTAAACTAATTAATCTAACTCAACCTACCCTAATCTACCAAACTTACTTAACCAAACCTAACCTTCGTAACCTTACTTAACATAACCTAACCTACCTATCCTACCTAACCTTACTAGCCTACCTAACTCACCTAATTAAACTAACCTAACTTCATTTACTTAGGAATATTAAGTAGGTTACTTACACGGTAAATACATATACGCTACTAAGTTGTCCATTCAAAGGATTTGTATGTATAATCGACCGACTAATATTATAAAGGTCAAACCATGCGAAGATACGAACGCATGAGCGAATTTTATTCTGAACGGTACTCCCACATTTTTTCTAGCAATAAAATCGATAAGAATTTTGTGAACAACTTGATAGTTGTATAATTAAATAACGTAGAAAATTCTTGTCGATTTTGAGAAAAAAATTTATGAGAAAAAAAAAAAAGAGACAAGCAGATGTATTTACATAGAAAGACACGTGGTCCGAGGGTGTAAGACTTTAAACGTAACGGTCCAAAGGAAAGCGTAGTTCTGGTAGCACGTTCTAATTTAGTTAGTACACAGTTAGTAATTCAGGTACAGTGACTAAGTGACACTTTAAGTCGAGAAGGTCACTTAACACTCCGGAGTTCTCTCTTCAAGACCAGCCTTACATGCTTCTCGTACGTACCACCTTAACCAACCACGTTGTAACGAAACGTGTGTCTTTTGCACAGCCCTGTCGTTTACATTTTCACCTTGAAACGTGTTCATGAAATACGTATCTACGTATATACGTGTATAATGCATACATAGATGCATCAAGCCTATGGTTAAGCGTTTGGAAATAACGTCAAATTTATGCATTTATGTTATGCTAGCTAATAAAAATGTTCCTACAAGATTAACGAGTTTACAAATCACCTTTAAACCATTGAATCACAAATCATGGCAAAATACTGGACAAATAACGTTTTTTCAGAAATTTATTTACGAATATTAATTATATATTGCAATTGTTTAAATGAATTCATTTAAATACTTAAACTTAAATAATAGAAACATTTACTAGTACTCTAAGTATTAACATATTGTATGTGTAGTATGTACTAATACGTTTTTCGTATATTATTTGCAAGATATTTTGAACGTCAATTGTGAGAGTATATTTCGAACTGTAGGTATGCATATTATAATATAATACTATTATTATTATTATCATTAGTATTAATAGTCATATTATATAAATAATATATTTATTCAAATCTTATTCGAATGCAGTTAAATTAAAAGTAGCTTGCATAACAATGTGTTAATAGATAAAAACTTTGTTAAGATGTGATATATTTCTCTTAATAAAAGTCTACGTACGAAGACACACATATACACACATATATATATATATAGATAAATAACTACGTGTAAGGGTTATTAATATTCGTCGAATAATTTCGATTCTCGAGAAGGGTTTTACTTGATGCATGAAAGCAATAAGTAAACGACTATGTCTCGTTTCTACGTATATAAGAGTATGTATTCATGTTGTATAAATTAATATACCATATTTCCTTGGGCTGCGCTCGTATAGATACGTAGTACATACTTACATACATATTTCTATGTATATACATGTGTCTATTGTAGAACTATGAATATGCAAACATTTTAGTGCTGTTCTGTCTTTCGACTTTGTGTTGAACATATACACTTCTCTTATGTATATCCCATGTAAGAATGTATGTAAGTACGTATATATGTATGTGTTTGTACTATGAACACTCAAGCTAATGCCAATTATTCTTTGAGAATAAGCTTCTTCTCGAATGGAAAGACGTTTTAAAAGATGAAACTCGAGACAGATTGTAGGTATTATGTTTTACGTGTAGATTTACGAGAGGATAGTCTTCTATAAGAGCTTTATGAATATAAAAAAAAAAAATGAAAAAAACCAACAAAAAAAAATTAAGAAAAATAATGTACAACTTATGTGACATATTATTAGGTCGAGTCATAAATAACTTCAGTTTTTTTATGAGACAAACAATGACGTTTCTGCGACTGATAAAAGTGCAAGACACCTTTCATGGAGTTTTTTTTTGTTTTTCCACTCTTTGCAATTGTTCAACGTATCTATTGGATTTTGCTCTCAATATTACCTTTAAAAGGTTCATCAAAGTTGAAAATACGTCCTGCACTTGGTTCATCTTTTAAGATCGTATCTCCAGAATGGAATTTGACAAACCAATTTCTGACTGCCCTATCAGTTATCAGTCCTGCACTGTATACACTGCATATTTTTTCAGTTGCCACTTTAGTGTTATTGCCTTGTTTCCATTTTTAAAGTATTACATGTCGAATATTCACTTTTAAGTGAATTATTTTTACTGAACCGATTTTAATACAAATTTTGCACACTGTGTGCAGTTTTATTCAACTTGAAGGATAGGATAGTTAATATCTCAATTTATAATCGGTATAAGGTAATTCGTTGACTTAAAAAAGACGTGTGTATCGGATTGATCTAGTTGATTCTATGAAAAAGTTGACAGAAGACTAACTGAATCATCATCTATACAGTGATATCAAAAATCCGTTTGTTTCGGTGACTTATATAAGGTAAATACGAGAAATAGATTCTACATAGTCGCATTGGAAGTTACTTAAAACTCGACCTAATATTTATTAGATAATTTTTGGAAGTCAGTTATAGAACATATTGTTATGTATCATTTTTATCATTGCATTACCGTTTGCCAGATCCATGAGTGCATCCAATGCAACGTCAAGGCCTGTTTCTAAAGCGAGTTCTCCTTGCACTGGTTTGCCAAGCAGTTCTTCCACGTCTTTAACACAATAAAAGTAAACATAATTGATAAACAATGATATTATTCTTTGGTTGATATAATTAATTATATTTAATATTACTGATCATTTATTTCATTGATAAAGGATATTAAAAAAAAAAAAATAAAAAAGAAATAATATCGGTTGGTTCTTTCGTGACAAGCATTCAAATTACCAATCTAAGGTACTACGATAATAATCATAAATCTTATCTCTCTCATCTCGTGGATTTGATAATTTATGTATCCTCATAACTATTACTCGTTATCTCGAACTGATAGGAATTCTCAATGGTTGGTCCACCATCTCTCTCGGTAACAATTTAATATTTCCTGGAAATTCTGACCCCTTTTGTTCATTGATAATTTAACCAACACTATGAATTATATCGTTTAATCTCGTGATTATATATTCGTGATGATCCATAAAATATTTTAATTTGTTTTCTTTTTTTTGTAACTTTAACTTCTTAAGGGATGGGTCAAGAAAAAAAAAATTGTTGTTCTTAATAAATTGTCGTCTTAAAATAAGTAGGTGATATAAAACACAAGACTCTTATAAAACTGTAAATAAGTTTTGAACGTAAGAATAAAATAGAAAAATGTTTCAAATAATGTTTACTTTTGGTGTTAGGTGTTATACCTAATAAAACAGAAGACCTAGATTGCAATACATTGTTAAACACGTACACACACACACACACATATAAAGGTATATACTAAATATTGTATACCTATACTCTCGTACGTTGCTAGAGTCTTGATATATCTATCTTATGGAGATGGAAAATCGAAAGTCATATGACAGTGTAGGTGCATAAGGGCTTTGTAGCAAACGCCGTAGGTAATGTCGGCGGCTGCATTATGCTAACGATCGCAATTTGCGTTCGGGTTGTTAACGTACCCGTCGATGGACCTATTACACGACGATTACAGACTGTCGATAGCTTTCATTAGACGTCTATGCGTTTCTACTCTCGATGGATGTTCATTAGAAGATAGGGTTCCTACCTACAATGCTCTGATAATCCTTCGATGCAAGCAAAATGCTGTATATCGACTTAAACTCGAACTTCGGATTATGACCTCCTTGTTTGGATCATGTTAAATCCTTACTGTTAATTGCTTACTCACTTACACGCATTGTTATTTCATTATTACTAGTAATATTGAGTGTATGTATTTTCTTTATGAATTATTGTCTTTTGTTATAATTTTATTTTTATCTTATTTAAAACTCTCTTCTTTTTTTGTTTTTTTTTTTATTTCAATATGCTCTCATTTTTGTATTATGGATTGTTGTATTTTTTATTTAATGTTTATTTTACAGCTAAAGGCGTAAATATACATAGGTCCTCTGTATTTTTTTTTTTACTATAACACCTTTATTGCTGTATTACCAATTAATTTAACATGGAATTTATTGTGATATGTAACATAGCAACGAAATATTGGCAATTATTTCAATGTCGTTTTGTTAATTGCTTTGATATTTGCAATTCGTCTATTTTAATTTTATTATTTTTATAATTAGGTGTAAAATTATAAAAAATATCCTGTTAAAGTTATTATACCTTTGTGTTACAGTTACAAATTTTTGTATTTTTTTCTTTTATATTTAAATTACCGATTATTATTGAAGGAATGCACAAAATAAATAAATTAAATTAAAATAGCTTAGAAAATTACTTAAAAAAAAAAAAAAAAATTAAAAAAAAATTCATATAATAAGTTAATTTATATCTAATAATCATCTATATCTAATCTATCTAATTTATATCTAATAAGTTAATTTTTATGGATTATTGCATTATAATTTTTGTTTGATATTTATTTTATTTTAAATATACGTTTTTATTAAAGTAAGTTTTTTTTTTATTTTTTTTTTTTTTATTATTTTATTTTAATCTATTTATTTGTAATATTCTTAACATTTTAATTACTTTTGTTTACGGCAAAATGTTTAGAGAAAGGAGTGATCTTAGCTGATTCCATTAAAACTCTATTAAAAGTAGTTTTGGGTTATCTCTCTCTCTCTCTCTCTCTCTCTCTCGTTCTCTCTCTCTTTCTCTCTCCCCCTATTTTTAACTGTGTTTCTCTCGTGGTTCGCTTCTAGTAGAATATTAGTCAGTGGGAAAACAAGGTAGCCAGATCGGAACGAAATTAAAAATTCTATCTCATCGAAGCCACGGGGATGAGTTTTGGAAAACAAACTGAAAATTAATTTCGGTCTTATTACCGTTATGGTTTATACTGTAATTATTGTACAATTAAAAGCCACTACTGAAAATACTCTAGAGTTGAATTTCAAAAAAGTAATGTACTGTAATAAATGTTCCATTAAATGTTGAAACGAGTTGTTATTTTCAATGTAAATACACATTTTGAATATCATATTTTATGTGATGATCGAAATTATGTGAGATTTTCAATACAATTTTTATGATTGACAAACGAAAATGACGTGTTTTAGTTTAAACGATCGTTAATTAGAATTATTTTATTCCTTTATACATAAACACATATTATAATTATTTAAGTAAACATATATATATATATATATAAATAAAGATATTTTTGTTTGTTTAAAATTTACAGTAGATTTTCGTACGACTATGCTTGAAATTGGTACGATTTTCCGAGGCGTAACGAAAAACTCGAAGAATCGGAAACGAGCGAGTTAGAATCGTTAGGATAGAGGAAGCTTTTAAAGAACTAGGATTTAACAGGAGGGGGGTGGAGGGGTGGGGGAGGGGGAGAGAGAGAGAAAAAAAAGAAACTAAAATAAAAGTAAATAATACGAAGAAAGTAAGTGAGTAAGAAAATCTGTAGAAGGAAATACGTGCCTTTCGAAAATCTCGAAACCTTTTTCTATCTTCTTCGAAAAGAAAGAATTAAGGGTAAATTTGAAAAATAAATAGAGGACATTCTTCTGATCTCTTTTACCGTTCCTTTAGTCTCCGATGTAAGTGGATGAATGAATGAATCATTAGGAAAAAATTTGTGTTAGGAAACATTGTCTGCTGTTGATTTTAGAAAAAATCTCTTCAGTAGTGTTAGCGTGAGAAAGTATTTCGTAGGGAAATAACTCGAACCCTCGTAAAGGGGAAAGTTAAAAGACATAATAGAACCTCCAGTATGTGAATAAAAAAAGAACGGAATTTTCATGGAATTCTTTGAGGTACGGTGGGAATAAAAGTGTCTCACCTTTTTTGATACATCGTAATGCACGGTTGGGACATTTTTAGTCCCATCTCAAAATATCATTGTAATTTCTACACGTGCTCGTAAATTTCTATTTCATCTTAATTTATGCAAAGCAAATTGGTTATTAATTGTTTTTTTTTGTTTTTATGTTATATATTTATTAATAAAAAATATAATATATATATATTTTTTGTTTCATTTAAAACGTAATCAAATTTTGTATACAACATATAGATAGGACTATTTTTTTATTATCTGAAATTTTGTATCGCAAATAGTTAAATAGAATATTATTTGAAATGCGTAAGATATCAATGTTAGACTAAAATAATAAGACAGATTATGATATTATTTATTATTTGTTTTTTTTTTTTTTTTTTTTTTTTATGGTATTTTACTGAGTACTGAATTATTTGAACATTTGTATGTATACATAACGAATTTAATTTGTTATTGTAATTATATATGGATTAATATGTAAAAGTAATACACTNATATAGATAGGACTATTTTTTTATTATCTGAAATTTTGTATCGCAAATAGTTAAATAGAATATTATTTGAAATGCGTAAGATATCAATGTTAGACCAAAATATTAATACTGATACTGATAGATAGATTGATTTGTTTTTTTTTTTTTTTTTTTTTAGTAAATTAACCCCTTGAGTACTGAATTATTTGAACATTTGTATGTATACATAACGAATTTAATTTGTTATTGTAATTATATATGGATTAATATGTAAAAGTAATACACTTTATTTGAAATATATTTATATTGATGATATAAATATATATTTTTCTTTTGCAACAACATTTTAATTACTAAATATTAATAAATATTATAAATAAAACAATATACCCAAGTAGGCAGATGACGTGTCTCACACGTCAAATGTATTCAAAGGGCTAATATTTGTTTTAACAGTAGATTGACATTTATAATTATTGTTTAAATTATATACATTTTATTTGTTTTAATAGTAGATGATGACACAATAGTGTTCGAATAATGAAATGTTTCGATAACGAAGCATACGATTAATAAAACATTCAAGAAACTAATAGATAATTATCATCAGAAAATTCTGAAAGTATTTGTTTTTAACTTCGAAAATAACATAATTTTTTACTTGGAAAATAATTGTTACAAAAAAAAAAATAGGAAACGTAATATTATTGAATATTTCTATTACTTACTGTCTAAATCAGCAAGTATTGCTTCACTCGCGACATCGAGACTTCTCGTGAGACATTTTCTCAATTGTGTTGTGGTATCTTGATGATAGTCGTCGAGATCCTGTAATGCCGTTTCCACGACCACGGGAAGCTTCTCGATTCCAGTTCTTGCGTATTCGTTGCAGACCATCATGGTGACCATGCACGAGCTGTGAAAATTGTATCGAAGATTGTATCGTTCAATAGAGAATCGTTATTAAGAGCCTATCTACTATAACACGAGTCTGCTACACATAAATTGTTTCTCTTTTTTACTTTCCTTTATTCCCCTTTGTTCCCCTCTCTCTCTCTCTCTCTCTCTCTCTTTCTCATTTTCCCTAAGTTTTTTTTTTTTAGTCCGGAGTTTCTTTCGTAAGAACAAAATTGAATGCCCTCTGTAAGAAAACTTGGTTAAATCGAAAACTTTCCTACCTACAGCTACACTTCTATAGTCTTGACGCAAACCTCAAAATTGATTCGCGTAATTTGTTCACCGTATATAACACCACAGGTAACTGTCGATAGGTTTTTTTCATCTTCCCTTGTTTCGTTAGAAACATCGATAAAATCAAATTGTATTGTGTGAGTTCTAAAAATGTCTTGCTAAAGTCTTCAAAAGTTTAACACATGCACAATATTTTTTTTATGTTTTATGTTAATTAAATATAATCCATTTTATGACAAATAACAAAATAAAATTACAAAACAATGTTGATATTTGATTTGGTAACTTCATAAATTACGGTCTGGTAACAGCATGATCGTGTTCAAAATATTTACCTGAAAACATATAAAATAAAAAATATAAAAATTATTGTTAATAAATCGAAAGAAATATATATTCAAGTTAAAACACACGGTTATTATGAGATCAACGTACCGTTCTCTTCGAAATCTATCGTATAAACTGTCAGATTAAAACATTTCTTTTATTTCTTTTTATTTATATTAACTACCGAAATGCATATGAGTTTATATGATTTCCCCCAAAACAGTAATATGATATGTCTGTGTGTGTTTATATATATATATATATATGTACGTGGGTATGTATGAACATTTATTAAAATGCTTGCTTCGTTTATAAAATATGTAGAAATGAGATCAAAAAATAATGTATAACACATGATACACGAACACGACTTGTCGGTAACCGAATAGTATGACGATTTAGAAAGGAAAGGATGAGTAGAAGTTAAATTTACGAAAAGAATTATTATCGATTGAATGTTTTGTTTTGATGTATATACATACCTCATTACCTCGACTGTGAACTATATTCAAATGTAGCGTTGTTTTTATTCCCGTATGATCTCATCGTCGAACCCGAAAGTACGCCAATTGATCTTCGTGTATTATCGGTGTACTTCGTAATAGTTTTCCTTACTAAATGTTAGTCTTATTAGAACGTCGGTACGAGTAACAACGCGTTATTATAAAAGTGTCAAATGTATTTCGCGTATACGCGTGCATGCGTTTGTGTAAAAGTGTGTTTTACAAGTAACGTGCATATGTGAGCGAGTGTATGTGCTTACCGACGAGTGATATACATGTGCATATGTGGATACGTTGAAATCTTAACCACTTCAGGGAGGATTGTTTAATGGTGAGATAAAAATGATTTCATATTTTTTTCTTTTTCTCTAACTGTACATCGAAACTAACCATTACTAGTGCAGCTAAACCAAATATAACATGGTGCGCAGATTACACGTGTTAAAAGTGAAATCTTCCAAAAATTTTCAAAATCTTCACAAGTTTCAAGAATAAGATAATTGTAGGATTTATTTATTATATTATATTATTGCCATATATAATAAAGATCACCGATATGGTCTATGGGTGGAATAACTGATAAAAAGTACACATTTCCAAATTCAAGCAATAAAAATCGTGACCCTTGTATAGCGGCCCTTTCACTCCGTTGCCTCGTCATCTACCTGTTCGTTGCCTGAACAACCCATTTCTTTTCAAATCACTCCCTATTCTAAAGAAGTTTTCACATCAAAAATATTCTACATATAAAAATTGATCTAAAGAAAGGAGAAAATAAAAGTTGTAAAATATTTTACAAAAGATCCAATACCTACAAGTGTCTATTTTTTTTTATTAATCGTTCACATTATATAATTATACTCCACGTATATAGAGAGATATAAAGTGGCGGTGGTGGATGGGGGGAAGGGTAAGGGGGGGGGAGGGTGGTAGTGGTGGTGGTGTAGAGGATAGAATAGATGCAAATGGATGGAATTGATTTGAATCCATTCTTCTTCATTGATTACAGATTTTCTGAGAGAATGGAGAGAAATTCGTTTCCATTGAGGACGACGAACTCTCTCTCTCTCTCTCTCTCTTTCTCTCTTTCTCTCTTTCTCTTTTTTTCTTTCTTTCTTTCCTTCTGTCTCATTCATTCTCTTTCGTAAAATATCTTTAAAATGAATATGATACCTTCGACTTACCCGAGTAGGAAGACAAAAGCTGTTAGAAGAAACGCAAGGACCTCCGGATACCGGCAGGGTTTGTAATCCTCTCTAATTGGACGGCAAGCAAGCCAGAGTTCTGTGCCAGGTACTATGCAGGCCATGATGCAGCAGACACCAATTGTTGTTAAAAATATCGCCTCGACGTGCATCGACTGTAATCATCATGAAAATCATCATCGACGTAATAAGTAACATAAAGAAAATCATATAAAGACGATTACTTTCTCTCTCTCTCTCTCTCTCTCTCTCTCTTTCTTTCTCTCTTTCTCTCTCTTTTCGCGACAGTGACTTTGACGATCGACCAAATTGCTTTCCGTTCTTGGAATGACATGGGTTATCCGAATTTTGAAGTATTTCTCTCTCTCTCTCTCTCTCTCTCTCTCTTTCTCTCTATCTTACTCTTACTCTATTTTCCTCTCTCTCTCTCTCTCTCTTTACATGACATTCTCACTAATATATTTGAAGAGACATATTTCATATATCAGAGAGATCTACTTACTTCAGATATTAATTTTGAAGTGGTAATACGGTTTTCTATAGCTTCTATTAATAGACCTGTGGAAAATAGAATTGAAATATTTTGAAATTTTCTATATTTTTATTTATAATTTATTAACGGTGATAGTTTGTTGTTAGAAAGTTTTTATGATAAAATATTTGTTTATTTCAAGTTTTTATAAAAAAATATAATTCATAAACGTGTAAAATAAATGATTTGACTTATTGTGTGAGATTAATGTTTTATTAATTTGTATCGATAATTTTGAACGATAGTATAAAAAAAGGAGATGAATTTTAATTTATATTATTGTATTCGAAATATATTTTTGGATTTCATAGATTTGTAAAAAATACGTGTTAGAACTTTTGATAATTTGAATATTGTTAAAAAGTGTCGAACGAAATTGTCAACGTGTCAAACAAACAAACAAACAAAAATTGTTTAATTTATTAAAGATTAATATTTCCTATTATTATTATTATTATTATTTTTTATGTTATATTACATTGTTTTATAGGAATACAATTTAAAGAAAAAAGAACACGTTATATTACTCTTTGATACAAAAAGGAGAGAAAGTATTTTCCTCTCGTAATATTGATCGATATTCATAATTTTCCCATAAAGCAGCAAACCGAGAACGCGTATGAGCGAATATAATTGCAAACGAACCGCAATAGTTGGATACGACTGCATTCGAATTTATTTATCGAGTCATCTGTATGCATGTGCACTATACGCGCTTTCCGTAATGGAACGTTGGGAGAGAATTAAAGCGACGATCAAGGGAAGCCACAGTAAAACATCCCTTTCTCTCTCTCTCTCTCTCTTCTCATCCCTTTCTCTATTACTGTTATTCATCAGTAAGATTCAGCTTTGAAATGAAAAAATATTTCGAGAGATTTCATTTCTGGAAGAAAATAGACAACGTAGAGAGAGTATTTATTTCGATTTCTTTGCTAAATGCATATACATACGCATGCGTATACATTTTGTTGTTGTTGTTGTTGTTGTTGTTGTTGTTACCTTAATATCAAATGATATATTCAAGTATTTTTCTTTACAAATGAAATTTAATGTGTTTTTTTGATTTTTATTAAAAAAAAAAAGCAAACGAATTACTTATTTTTTCCGACTGTCAACGAAACGAGTTATCGATTATTTGATGAAAAAGATAATATATTTTCAAATGTTGTTAAATAATAGGTGTATCGTACTTTACCGATCGGTACGTCGTACGGATGAACGAGATAAAGAACACTTCGTAAGAAATTAAATAGAAAAGGTGCTTCCTCGAGATGTAGGGTTGCCATCTTGAAACCACCATCGGATATCGTTTTAGGAAAATTTAGTTTCGGTGCTTGTTCCTCCCAATCCTTTCCGATCGACGGTGTCCAGAAATGTGAAACGTTGCTATTATTTTTCATATTATTATCTTCTATATAAATGTCGATCGAAGCATCGAGTTGTTCACGTTGATTTTCACTCGCAATGTTTAAAGCAATGTTGCTACTAATTGTCGTACAATTATCATCGATATTGTTGATTTCTATAATCATCGTCGTATCATCATCATCATCAGTCTGTGCGTGAACGTTCGATAAGATCGCGATGACAACGAGAATGATTCCTCCTGAAATATATTTATTAATTACATTATATATATCGATTTATATTTTTGTTTTTATTATTTTGTTAATAAATAAACCGTAAGATTGAAATTGTGTTCGTAAATAAGAGAAATTATTATTTGTTTTTTCTTTCTTTTTTTTTTTTTATGATTTAAATATTTTATTCAAATTATTTGTATCATATTTCGATGTGTTACGTTTAAAATGAACGTTTATATTTAACGTTTCTTGTTTCTTTGTCGTTATATTCGAGAAGATACTTTTTAGGGATTTTTAGAAGTCTAGAAAAAAAAAAGGATCGAACTGATCGAGGAAAAATAAACCACCAATGACGCGAGATCACCACCACCGTTGCGACATCGATGAGATAGAAAATAGTTCGTTTTTTTTTTTTTTTTTTTTTTTTATACGAACGAGAACGATGACAACTTTCTGTCCTTATCGCGTTCTCCTTTTTCTCTTTCTCCTTTCCCCCGTTAGTTCTGTGTTTTCATCGACGAGTCTCCTCCTCTGACGTATCCTTCGCGAAAATTGGATTTGTCCACGGTGCGGAAGGGAAAAGGAAGGAAGGAAGGAAGGAAGGAAGGAAGGAAGGAAGGAAGGAAGGGGGAACTTTAAAGAAATGTATAAATGAGAAAAGTACTGTCAAACGCGATGAAAAGAGAAAGAAAGAAATAAAAGAAGGAAAAAAAACTATCCAAAAGTTCTGACAAAACTAAGATGACTTTATTGTCACATGCGCGCACAATTTGACGACGTGTCGGCGTGAAAATGAAAGGAGGAGATATTTTCTTTTTTTTTTTCAATGTGTATTTCAGAACAAACGTACGAATTTGCAATACCACTGGGAGTAATTGAAAATAATAAAAAGAAAAGAAAAAGAAAAAAAAAATTAGAAAAAACAAAAGGTACGAATAAAAAAGAAAACTAGAAAAGGGATAGTAAACGAGAATAGAGTACGTGCCATGGATCAGGGCCATTTTCCGTTCGGACGTTTGCCTTCTTGCCGGCGTTTCTGTTCGAACGTTCTGATCGTTACTGCCAAGAGAGACATAAAAAAAGAACATTGGTAAAAAAAAAAAAAGAGAGAGGCAATACGGTTGCCGTACAACCGCCACGAGCTGACTGTCGTTTTACAGAATTCGCAGAGGCTTCCTTACGAAGCCTCTCAAACTCTCTCGATGTTGTCGAACTCTTGGCTTGGATCGAAATAGAGTGAAAGAAAGAAAGAGAGAGAAAGAGAGAGAGAGAGAGAGAGAGAGAGAGAGAGAGTAAGGAAGGGGGAAAAAAAGATATGTATGAATACACACAGACTCACACACATGTACGTACGTATATACGTAAAAACATACTAGGGTGTGAAACGAGAGAGGGTGGATGATAAGTACTTTGGTAAGGTATAGGAATAGAAGAAGAGTGTAAGGGGAATAAAGAAAGAGGTGGAATCGTGAAATAGAAATCGAAATGGAGCTGCTGAAGTAACCGGGTTACTTCGATACGTTACTTTAAACCAGTACTAAGATTTTCGAGGGTAATCCTCATCATATGTGTACGTGTGTCTCGTATTTATGTATTTATGTATTCATGCGAACGTGTCTTCTTCTTGTTCGGGTAAAAGGTAATGGTGGTGGTCTTTTTTTAGTTTTCTACGTCGTGGAATATTGGCATCAGGTGATAGACGGACCCGTTGGAAAAAGTAGATTTCGAAGTGAAAGCAACAGATAGGAAGTTACGTAAATGTACGAATGATGGATATGGGTATGGAACTTATTTCAATTTCAGTTAGATCTGTATTATTATCGTGTTAATGGAAATCAAAATTGCTTCCTTTAGGGAAAATTTCATGCTAACGATATTTAGGATTTTTGACAGATCAATTTTTTTCTTTTTTTGTTTTATTTGTTTCGGTAGAATTTGATCTTGATAAAAAGATTGAAATATTTCTTATTATATTTTATAGATAGAGTGGTGGTACTTGAGTTTGTTTTTTTTTTTATTATATATGAGAATTTTCTACGAACGTATTTATTATTTTCTGCGGATAAATGTTTTTTTTTTTTTTTTTTGATAATATGTTATATTTATATAATAAGATTGGAATATTTTTAATATCTTATGAATGGAGTACTGGGTAATTAATTTTAAAGTTAATTTTGCATACTTCAAATATTTCTATTTTTCAATTTAAGCTGATGTAACAATTGGTCATCCGTGTATTATATTTCACATGATATGAAAAGATATTTGTACATTTCAACTTGGTTTCTAAGAGTTAACTTAAATAAACAGAGGGTAATTCCATCAAAAGTTATAAACTTTTCTCTTTGGAAAAGCACCATAGCTTGTAGTGGACAGTTTTCCGTTTACTTTACTACTCGCAATGGAAACGAAGAAGACGTCTCTGGATTTTCCTTAATCTCATCGGAGTCAACTATAATCCATGGGAGGAAGGAAGAAGATCAACGAGTGAAAAACGTCCAACCTTGATCTCTCTTTCATATTCTTTTCTTTTACAACCTAGTTACCTTACACTCTTTCTTTTTTACTCATCTTTCTATTTTTTTTTTTTTTTCTTAAATTCAGTAGTAATAACTTCTCAATCTTTTAATCTTTTTTTTTTTTTAGAACCAAACGTTTCATTTCAATAATAATTAATTACACTCCGCTGTCTCAACGTATGAGACATTAAAGTTGATTAGTGATTATGGGTAATTAAATTATTTTAGTACAACTTTTTGAAACATGCATGTTTCCTTGATGTTTTCTCGTAAAATAGCACAAGACATCGAATGAAAATCTAGTAAAATAACAAATCTATTTAATGAAGAATTTAATTTAATTAATGAATTTATTTCTTCTCTTCGTATTTTGCTGCGTGTTAGTAGTGATGAAATCAAACATTAATTTATTCGATTTCGTTCAGATAAGTATATATAGTATTGTCTGACATGTATTTCTTCGTACTTAACTTATCCACAATAGTTATTTATTTTGATATATTTATACTTTGATATTATAAGTAAATGAGCAAGAAGATAAAAACCTTTTTGCTATGAATAGACTCTAGCAGTTAAGTGGTGGTTGAAAGCTCAGTGTTCTAATTAGAGCAACCAAGTTAATGAAAGGAATCCTTCCGAGGATTTAGTATATATATATATTTATTTTTCTCTTTTAAATTCGTACAAAATGAAAAAAAAAATTAAATGTAAAAATTCTTATCAACAAAAACAAAAAACAAATTTATTTGACTTGTAGTACCTTAATCTGCTCAAATCTAGAAGAGAACTATTTTATATGTTAATTAATTTTTAGATTAGAATTTTCAACTTGTAATTATCTAATCTCCCGTTATCCTACATGTTTTCTGCGTTATCATGTATGAGTGTGCCCAGGTGTTACACGTATGGGTGAGAGACTGTTAGAATGGGTTTAATTTTAATTTTTTCCCATATTAACACGGCTAACATTGTACTAGTGGTTGTACTATGTACTTTGCATCTGTGGTATGCATATTTAGGTAGTGTACATTCTAGCATTGTTTAGCAATAAATAATAAATTAGAAATAATATTTGTGTAAAAGTTATTAAGGTAAAAATAACTTGTCAGAGTTACGTGCATAATACAAATTAGTTCATTTTTAAATACAATTTTGCAATAATAAAGTTATCATATTTATTTGTTGAAACTTTGATGTACTCGTATTATTACTAGAATGCATTTATATATTAGCATATACCTGCATTTCGTACTTTAGTCCTTTATGCACTAAACACTAGTTTTGAAAGTCGATTATAAGTATATATTCGCATTAGCATATAAGTTTAGAAAACAGGCGGTTGTTTGAACTAGGGTTTTGAAGGTGCCTCGGGGTTTGCTCTTTAGTTTAAGTTTTCGCACTTTGGTAATATGTGAGAATGTGAGTCGTGTGAATGTGTTCGTGTATATATGTTAGCACTTTTTAAATATAGGTTGATAAGCAACCAGGTAGCATACTTTTTTTAAACGAGTGCGTGTAGTTATTTTAAGTATGTCAAGTAGCGCCCTACCGAGGTACGTGTATTGGGTTTACTTTCATTTAGAGTAGTGGACATCCCAGTCTTCGGTTTTACACAGGATTGTCACAAAATTATATTTTTGTATTTTTTTCTTTTTATTCTATCATGTTTTCTTTGTACATTTATTTTATAACAATTCAGTAATATTTAATTATAAAGGAATTATACAACTATTAGGAAAATTCATTCCTATCTCGATTCTATCTTGAATGAAATAGAGTTAAAAAATCAAATCTATAAAGCTTTTGGATGAATTTGATACTTAGTGTTTTAAGTATTATATTATAAATAACACTTCGTACAATTGCGATTTTATTATCCTATTATTAAAATTAATTATTAATTTACAGTAATTTTTTTTTCATATCTTTTATATTTTTACAGGGATACCAGGAAGGAGTTGAAAATTTGTTGAAATTTGATTTTCATTTCACTTTGTTTTAGAATAGAATTAATTTTAATATATGTGGGAATTGATCTTCTCCATAGCAAATGCATAAATAGTTATTCATAGAGAAGTTGACCATGGGTCTTGGATAGCTCAATGGATAGACCAGTTGACCGGAAAGCAAAAGATCCTTTGGGTTCTCGAGTTCCAGTTTCAATTAGTCCAGCAATTCAATTGTTTCAAGAATCCTATATATATATACAGTTATAAGGATCAGTCATGATGTATTCAATCTATTAGTAAAAAGTAATAATTTTATGTTTATTTTTTAATGATTTTTTAATGACTATTTATACCATCAAGTTTATTATCATGCAATCAAACCGATTCACAAGCAATTTTAATTAAATTTAACATTAATAATCTTAACCTTGAATCTTTATTATCGAAAGAAGTAACTATTATAAGGGTTAAAAGACTCAGCTCTAACTTTTATGACCCTAATTACAGGAACACCTTGAAAAGTAACTCGGTTTAGGAAAAATAGAGAAAAAAAATAGGGTAAACGTTAGTTTTCCTTTATCTGGTTGGTAATCATCAAAGGATCGAAGAATTGTCGATGAGAAAGTGTGTCAGACACGCGTCTAGCGAAGATCGTTTTGAACTTGAATAGAACATGCATGCATGTATCTATATCCTATGTGAATGTAGGTATTACTTGCACAAACATACACAAATATATACTCATACATACATAGATATGTGAGAAAAATAAGAAGAATGCAAGTATATAGGGTGAAACACAACTAAGATTTCAATGTTTCAAAGCTTTTGTGTTTTAATTAATGTCTAATTAATGTATGTCATCAAATTAATCAATTTGACGTAAATTAACATTCATTATTTATGATAATTCAATGAACGAATTTTTGATTACAAATTAAATACGTAGACAGGAATGATTTGTTTAGAAATATATTAATTCAATATATCCAAGATAGGGGGGAAGGGGAGTCGATTTTAAAACTCACCTTGAAACATTTTGTATTAATCTCGATGAAATAGAAAATAAGTAACTTTAGAAGATAGAGTATATATAGTTGAAGCTTTTGTTTATTTGTTTGTTTTTTTTTTTTTAATCACCCTATAGATAATAGAGAAAGATAAGAACGTAAAACGTAGTGTAAAAAGAGTATGGTCAGGAAAGGAAGGACGCGTGGGTGTACGAATTTTGGCACGAACGAGATCCGCGTCGGTGTGGTGTCGTTAGAAAAGGGAGAGAACTGTGAGAGAAGAGGTGGTGGGTG